GTCAATGTTCCTTAAATATAAAGCCATATTTTTGTTTCTGTATCCTTTGTATGTGTTTTTAGGTAAAATGCACCCTGATGGTGAGAAAATGACACAAGGCCTATGAAACATTTAAGTTAGGAGTGCTCAACCTCCAACCTGTAGACCACATTTGGCACTCAGTGCTAGGTCATCCAGCCCATGGGACACTCCATGTACCCAAACCATGGGAAGCACCATGCGCTAGGGCCAAGTGTCCTAGATTGGATCTACATGGCTGTGTGGGGCCTGAGCAGAGGTGGTATAGGGCCCTGGGGCCCCAGTCCTGGCAACTGGGTCTGAGGCATGGGACCCACCTGATCATGGTGTGTAGGTGTGACGCAGGGTCCAGTCCCAGTGCCCAAGGTCAGATCTGGCCCATGGACCAGGCCCACACCATTCATCTGTCTTGCAGGGCCAAAACATTGAGCGCCACTGATTTAAGTCTTCAAAAATGTCATCTCTCTGTTAGTTCCCAGCTAAGGAAGGACTTTTATTCTCCAATAGGTAACAGCTAAACCAACCTAAAGCTCAAGTTACAGGGACCTTGATGTCTGGAATTATTAGAGCAGTATTGTAGAAACATGAATATGATTTATTATGGATAGAGGATAACCTCCTACTACTTACATTTACAAACAGTGTCATATTAAGAAGCTGAATTTTGAACCACTCTGTTCGTAAAGTAAATTCCTCATGCTTTCAGGTGTCTAGGCTAAAATCTCTCACTGTTGTTATAATATTTTTTTTAAAGTTAGAATAAATACTTTCCATGATAGCAGTTAGAGTATGTTTTCATTGCCTTTGCCAGAGGTCTAATGCTTCTGTTCAATTGCCTGATGACATTGCATATCACAAAATTTAAAATATCAACAATTTTTGACATTGTTTTATAGAAGAAACAGTTTATGATGAGTTTGAGTAGCTCATAGTAGGCCTGCATGAAGTGGCTAGTATTCGCTTTGGATTCAGCTGATTCGGAGAACTGTGATTCTATTCAATGATTCAAATCACTTTAAGAGAAAAAAACCCCCAAACCTCCAAACTCACTGGTTCCTGCCTAGTGGGAGACAATCTCTGCTGCCCTCCGCTGCCCTGCACCATGTGGGGGGCTTTTTCAAGTGCCCCCCAAAACTCTGAGGCTGCTGCAGGAGCTGGTGAGTTCGGGGGGGGGTTGGTTTTGTTTTTCTTAAAGGGTTGGAGCTGGGCCACACAGGGCACTCATGGGGGTGCTGAGAGAGCGGGGGAGGTTGGGGGACTCATGGCAGAGCCCCCCATACAGTGGGGGGCAGCAGGGATCACCTCTGCACTGGTCAGCACCTAGTGAGTAGGGGCTTTTTTTTAAAGCACCAGGAGCTGGGGCAGGC